CTTGGTCGTGTTGGCACATTTGCAAAGGAGAAAAAGTTGGAAGATCACTTGGAGTTAGCATCCTTTGGAAAAAAAGGTTTTTTGGTGTGCTCCAAACTATATGATGGTTCTTGGATTGGAATTCTATGTTGGTCCATTGTGCTTTGCATCAAATATGCATGTGGGATGTGTATCCCTTGCATAAGCTTTCCAAAATATCCAAGATCATCGAAATCGGACTTTGGAGCTAAGAGTTATAGTCGTTCTAGCGATGAACACTTTGCGACAGGACGTTGGCGGAGTCCGGTCAGTAGTGACCGGATGCGTTCGATCAGCAAAAGAGCTCTATGAAACCTCTCTTGAAGTGACCGAACTCTAGGAGAGTCAAGTCCGGTACAGGAGAAAGGCGAGCATGGTCATGTGACCGGAAGCGAAGTTCACTTGCGCGCGTTGGAGCCGTTGGCGCCCCACAGTTACATTCAAACGATCGAAATACATAGCGCTCGAAAGGTGACCAGACTCTATGACTGGACGCATCCTGTGCGACCAGACTCTGCGACCGGACGTGTACGGTCACTGCAGTAGTGAGTCCGGTCAGTGCGCAGACAGCCCAGTGAAAGGGGTAACAACTATTTTAGCCCTTGGGGCTATAAAAGGAGTGTGTGGCCGACCTTGGCTAGTGCTTGGCACCCTTGGGGCTTGGTGTCCATGCTTGGGGAGTGCTAGAAGGGCCTCTAACTCACTTGTGCTTACAAGAGTGCGAATCGATTGCGAGTGAATGATTCTAGTGCGATTGCACTGTGAGATTACATCGAGTGGCACTAGGTGTTCGAGTTGCAAGCCGGTGATGCTTGTTACTCTTGGAGGTTGCCACCTCCTAGACGGCTTGGTGGCGAGTTCTCTGTCATGAAGCACGTAAGAAGATTGCGCGGTGCTCCGGAGAAGGATTTGTGAGGGGTACGTGCTCAACCCATGAGAGCCGCGAAGAGCAACACTACTAGAGCATGTCATTGAGCTACCCTCACTTGTGGGTAGGTTCTTGCGGCACCTAACGTGTGGGCTAGGCTTGTGAACGCCTATTAGTCGCTGAACCACCAAGTGTACGATCGACACAACGGGGACTAGCTTGGTGACAACCAAGTGAACCTTGGGATAAAAATTATCGTGTCATCCTTGTTATTTTCGTTGGTTTGCATCCTCATTACATAAGCTTGTATTTACCTTTCATATATTGTGCTTATGTAGTTACTCTTGTAATTAGTTAGCTTGCTAATTATCTTCTTGCTAGTGTAGCACAGAAGTAGCTCCCTTGCATGACTAATTGGCTTGAGTAGCCTTGTTAGTCACTTTGTTTAGTTTATGTAGCTAGGTAATTTGAACTCTCTAATTTGGCTTATGTAGCCTTGTTAGTGAGCATTGCTGGTGAGCTTAGGAGCTTTGTGCTTTTGCTTACTAGTTTGTGTAGGAGCTCCCCCATTGATTAAAGTACTAGTTGCGTAGGTTTGTGTGACCTTGCTACTAGAATTGATTAGGTGAGCTCTAGTTAGCCCAGCACCTTAGTTAATCTTATTAGTATCTTTGTAAGGTGTTAGAGAACTTAGATAGAGGGGTGTAGTCTTGGCTAGACTGATAGTTTTAATTCCGCATTTATCTTGGTTAGTCGGTGTGATTAATTTTAGAAATGACTATTCACCCCGCTCTAGTCCGCCATCTCGACCCTGCACGCTGCACTGTCTGTCCATTCTACACAACTGCGAAGCACTATCGGCCACTCCCTTGGCAAGGTCACGCGACGGGTGCGACGCATCAGGACAAGGGACTCCCCAAACTTCAAGGGCAGAGGGCTTCGAGCCCGCTTATCAGCCCCTCTGGGCAGGGAAGGCACCTTGCACGTCAAGGAAGCCTCAAGAAGGCCCACCTGAGGGAGACCGCACAATGGCAGGCATCTCCTGACGGTTAAGCGCCAGACTGTGGTAGTGGCGTCATGGTGTACAACATTGTCGGCCGCCTCCTAGACGACAAAGAAGTACCAGACGATGCCAAGGCGAAGGGACGGCGAGCACTCGGCGAAGAAGCCTTAGGTTAGAACAAAAACCAACTTGTAAACATTGCCCTCCTCAGGATATAAGGGGAGGCATGCGCTTCTTCGAGGGGGATTGGGTCCTTGTTCGCTCAACGGAACTCGATAGATAAGAACCCTAGTAAAGGACCGCACAACCCCTTGCCAAAATCTCTCTCGATTCCTCTGTTGTGAACTCCTGATTGGGCATTCCTAACATGAAGAACACCATACTGCTGGATGTAGAGCTTAGAAGCCTCAACCAGGATAAACCGATCCGTGTCCCTTGTGTGTTTTGAGTGTCCGATCCACCAGAGACCCACACATCGACTTCTGAGAGCAATCTTGATGCTTGCCGCGGTTCCGAACCGGCGTCAGGTTGGTATATGGTGCGTATGCACCCACATCGGGAAAGAGAATCGCCATACGTCAGTTTTGGAAAGCTTTGAGGTGTTTAGATGTAACAACCATCGTGTAGTATTGAAAACCATGGTATTATTAAACTATGGTCTCGGTCTTTTGGGCCCCGTTCGCGTGTTTTTAAACCCGGTTTGATCCGCTTTTTTTTCATTCAGAACAGTATTTTCTTTAATAAATTCATCCAAAACCATCTAGATTCCTCCAAATTCCTCCGAGCGAACGGGGCCTTGAAGGCTTAAAAACTCCACCGAGACATTTTTAAGAAGCTGTGGTTTTCGCACATGGTTTCTTAAATAGCGGTTTTTTGATACCATGGTTTTATACAACAGTTACCGTGACATCTAAATATGACGTGTCATTTGTAAGCTGTCTTAGTATATAGGGTAATGCGCCGACAAGAAAAGAAATCTACAATAAATTATTATTTGAAAGCTTTGAGATATTTGGATGGGTAACAAAAATCGTACTTTTTTGAAAAAATATGATTTTGGTCTTGTCCTATGAGTCGTATTTTTTCAGCGAAGGAATAATATTTTTCTCTCACAATAAATCAGCCGACAATACTTTTCAGCTTGTCTTTTTAGCAAAATGAACATGGCCTTTGTCAGTCTGTGCTGTTGACGAGTGTTAAAAACTCTCTGGCATATTTTTTTTTATAAACTGTGGCTTTTGTTTGAGTTTGGTTTTTGAAATCGTGTTTTTTTATACCATCCTTTCGTACCACCATGACATCTACACAAACGGTCTATTTGATACCACGACCGGCACGATGCCCACAAACTCATCTTGACTTCTCTTCCTGTCTACCTGCCACACAACTTGTCTGAGAGCCACTGCACCCTCGTACATACTAAGCAATAATATAAGTAGAAAGGAAATAGTCGTAGAGTAGTAACTAATTAAGATGATTTAAGCTCTTGCTTATATTATTATTACGTGCAGAATAAGAAGCGTGGATGGTTTAAAAACTTTTGTGTATTGTCGTCAGCCATTAGCTCTACTTTCCACGATCGATAATGAGCTACTGCCTACTATTCCGAGAGGAAGAATATTCCACATGTAATGTACGTATAAGCAGTAGTAGTGCAGGAGTATGCAGGCATGCATGCCGTGTTGTTTCCACCATATAAGCATACAGTATATATATTCCAGAACTCCCTCAAATTAGCATTTCATATTTCGCTTTTTTTGCTCTATTGTTGATTTGACTATTATAGGCATCGAAATTACCCGCCCAAAAGTGGTATGGAATGAATTTTCTACCCGCTCGGCACGGGTAACCCGACGGATAAGATTTTGATCTGGCGGCGGGTGCGGTACGGGTGGCGATTACATCGCCAATGCACGTCTGCTGCCATCTTGATGCAGGAGTATGCAGGCATGCATGCCGTGTTGTTTCCACGGATTTACAGCTTTATTATTAGCTGATGACATCAAGGCATCGAATATAAGGCCCGTTCGGATGGTGCAAAAATTGCACTGTTTACAGATGAAAGTTATTGTTTACGGCTAATTTTTTCTCACAATTATCTCCAAATTTATACAGATTCCTCCAAACGAACAGGCCTAAAGGTCAGGGTTGCAGTCCATTGCATTGCTTCCAGTTTTTTTCTTCTTCGTGCCTGTTTATTCGATGGACAATTTGCCGTTTAGTTTGACCTAGGTTAACTACTTTTGTTGGTTGTACAAATGCCTCTCTCTTTTTCTTATTTTAATTGGTCAATGACAAACTAAGCACGAATTACGATGCTCTAAAAAGGAGCAGACAGTGAACAGGAAACCTAGGAGGGGGACGTGGTGGATGGATATGAACAGGGCAGGCGCCTCCACGCCACGGTGGCACGCACGTCCACGTGGTTTCATTTGGCCTATACTTGTAGATAGCGTGTGAGCATAAACAATGCGATTCCAAGTTTAATCGAAATGAAGATAAGTTAAATTTATCTGAATTTAGAAAAAAATTATTATAAAAACATCCTGTGATAAATCTAATGATATTTGTAAAGCATGAAAATCATTAATATATTTTTTTCTATAAAAACAGGAGCACAATTTTAAAATTGTCCTACAAGTGTACAGTCAGCAGAGCTGAGAGGAGAGTACACACCAAGAACCGAGAGAGAGAGAGAGCGAGCGCGTGCGCACGCGCCGAAATGGATTTTAGAGAGCGAATCAGAGAAAGCGGATTTGCGGGGGCAAATAAAGTAGTAGGAGTATTTAAGGTTGGAAATGGAAACCGGAGGCAGTATAGGATTTGCCCACAGGAAGAGGAGGGAGAGCGGTCTCCGGTCTCGCCTCCTTCCTTCCTCCCGTCGCCGCCCCGCCCGCTCCCGCCCCTGGTTTTCTACTGCACAACCCCCGCCCCCGATGGCTGGAAATATCAATCCACCCTCTCCGCCTCCCGATTCAGGATTTATATACCCACCCCAACCCCGCCGATCCCCTGCCTGCCTCGCCTCTTCCGGCCCGTCCTGCCGCCGTCCCCGCCTCCTGACCTGACCGACCGCGCCGGGGCCTTGCCTGCTCTCGCCGTGACCGTGACATGCCGGTACAGGTCGGAGGGAGCAAGGAGGCGGACCCCAGGGCGGCCAGGGTGCTGGACCTCTCGCCCACCGCCGTCGTCGGCGACAAGGCCCGCGCCTCCTCCAAGAAGAACCGCCGCCGCCACAAGAAGGCCTCCTCCCCCGCCGACGCCGCCGCATCTTCCATCTCGCCCATGCAGAGGCTCTTCGACACCAGCAGGGAGGTCTTCGCCAACTCCTACCCGGGCTTCGTCCCGCCGCCGGACGCCGTCGCGCGCCTCTCGGGCCTCCTCAGTACGTATCCTGTACTGCTGTACATCCCGCCCCGCCTTTGCCTTGCCTTTCCTTCGGTACAGACAGCAAAGCTGCCATCTTTGTGCGTGCCGTGCGATTTGATGTGTTTTTTTTATATATCGTATAATCGTGCGATTTGATGTTGATTGCCTGGAACACCCGTACTTGCCTGCCTCCTCAGTCCTCACCAGCACGTACTTACGCGCGTCCTCCTTTACAGCAGCATGTTGCCCGTGCTTAGGATGTAGAGACAGCGATAACAGCGTATTATCGATGGGTGGGCGCATCACAAGGATGGATGATCCACCACCCTTTCCTTTTTAATATTGTTGTCCGCGTCGTCGTCCTCGCTCCTTTCATTATCTCGTCTCGTCTCGTGATGAGGTTGAGAGGCGTCCGTTTTTGGTATGCATGCTTCAAAGCGCAAAGGCCTTGGGCCTCGATACTTGATATGGTTTCGCTGCTTTTGCTATGCATGTCGCGGCAAGTCCCCCATCCCATGGCATTGCAGGAAGAGAGTGATATTTTAACCAACTACTGCTACCACTCTGCCTGACAAAGTGTGCTACTATGGTTTGATGATGGTGGGAGCCTAAAAGCTTGCATTTTTTAAGTACACCTGTTTAATTAGAAATACTGTTCTTCTTCTTGTTGTCGTCGTGGGGGCTAGCAGCTAGCTCCAACCACGGACCACTCCCACCTGTATCCTGATTTGCTGAAGCTGCCATTCCTCAGTGATGGTCACTTGATCAGGTAGGCATGGGCCAACATGAGACAACTCCTACAATGCTGCTCTTTACATGGCTTAACTTGCAATCCTCGGTCCCTTTTTTTAACATAGCATTGTTCGGACTACCGTGTTTGTGTCTGTTCTGTTGAACATAAAATATACTACCGTTTTGCACTTACACTCTTGATTGATTGCGCACGACATGGAAGCATAACAGATAACTACTAATGCTATGTAGCTGACTATTGCATTCACTGCTTTTCTTCTAAACCTAACTAATGGAATCACTGTACTTTGTTGTTTGATACCTTGATAATCATGGGATGCATTTGTCTGATCGTTATGCTTTTGGATGCAGATGAGCTGAAACCACGTGATGTTCGGGTTGCCCCAAGTATGTCCGTCTTCAAGCATGCCGATCCTAAAAGCCCCCCTCCAGTTACTTATTTGCATTTCTATGATTCCTCTGAGTTCTCGGTAATTTAAACTCTCCATCTCTGTGTATCGCCTTTTGAGGAACTTGCTAGCAAATGCCTCTTGCTCAACCATTGAACTGTTCTTTGCAGTTTGGTATCTTCTGTTTACCGAAATCAGCAGTTATTCCCCTTCACAACCATCCTGGGATGACAGTGTTTAGCAAGATACTATTTGGTTCCATGCACCTCAAGTCATATGATTGGGCTAAAAGTCTGCCGGATAGTAACGATAATGCACTTCAGAACTCTGATGGTTAGTGCTGATACCTTTCCCCCTTTTTTGAGCTATCCAATTACAAGGAAATACTTATGACTTTTCTAGTCAATCACTGTAGTGAAAATGAAGATGTTGATAAACCTTTTATGGTTTGTTTCTTGTCCCAACCACAGGAGCTCGTCTGGCCAGGGTAAACACAGATGCTGTTTTTGACGCTTCATCTGAGACTGTAGTTCTGTACCCTGAAAATGGAGGGAATTTGCACTGTTTTACGGCATTGACCCCTTGTGCCGTGCTGGATGTGATGGGCCCCCCCTACAACCGTGATGAGGGAAGGGATTGCGAGTATTACAGTGAATCACTGTACTCAGGTTCATGTGGTGAGTTTCTTTTGCTACCAATCTCCTGCAGATGTAGAATCTAGAATGCCATTCAAATCAAAGAGTGTTGTTACTGCTCCTTAACATAATGTGGTAGGCTGGTAGCTGAGGAATATGTTGTGTGATTTCAGGTGGTGATGAACAATTTTCTTGGCTGAAAGAGGTTCATAGCACATTTGAGATGCAAGGCATAAAGATGGAGCAGAACTTCGTCCTCTAAGGCATGATGACTGGCATGGCATTGTGGCAACATCAGAAGACAAATGCTGGTAGTTTGATGTAGATATCTTTAGCTGCGAAGACAAACAGCAGGGGTTACAAGCAGAAGACTGCGCTGGGCCGGGTGTTCAGACTAGGAAACTTGACGTTTGTTTGGCTTATTTCATATGGGTTGAAACAGCTTCTTGTGATCTGGGATTGACTCTGCTTTTCTTATGTTACTGGAGTATCTGATAGCACAATTCGAGTCTGGGCTTTTTTGGGTCATGGTCACATTTTATGTTTCCCTGTAGACAGAAATGTAGGCAGGTGCTACTTTTTGAAGTGACCATGGACCAAATCCTTTGGGTCGTTTGGTTGGTTGGTTTTGTTGAGCAGGGCAGGGAGGGTAGTCGTGAACTTTTTGCCTGCTTTCATTCATGTTTCAGTTTCAGTTTCAGGGGCATATCTTTTGTTTCCTTGTTGAACAAAGAAATTTCTCTAGTAGCAGTTTGCATTCTCAGCGCGTGTTCAGTTCCAAAAATACTTCCAAAAAAGTGCTACAGTATTAGTCACATTAAATCTTGTGATACGTGCATGGAGCAGTAAATGTACATAAAAAAAAATTAATTGCACAGTTTGTTTGGAAATCGCGAGACGAACGTTTTAAGTCTAATTAATTCATGATTGAATACTATTTATTAAATAAAAATAAAAGTGCTACGGTACCTAAATTTTAACTTTTCCTCCCACTAAACACAGCCTCAGTGTCTTGGTGCACTAATAAATGGATGTGGATATGATCCAGGCTTCCAAATCAGGAGCTGTGAGGTACTGAGGTGATTGGGACGTTTGTACTCCTACTACTCAGGGCCTGTTTAGTTTCACTTCAAAATATCAAATTTTTTAAGATTTTCTATTACATCGAATCTTTGACGCATGTATAAAACATTAAATATAAATAAAAAATAAAACTAATTATATAGTTTAGACAAAAATCTACGAGACGAATCTTTTAAGCCTAATTAGAGTATAATTGGACACTATTTATTTGTAGTAATATTTCGCCAAAAAAAATCGGCATCTGCCTCAGGTGAGGTCCGACCCGAACCGGATGATATGTAGGGGGTGTGCGTTGTAGATTACTGTGGCTGCTACGGAACACTGCTCTACTAAAAATCCATCTCACGTAACGTAGTTCACGCTTTTGGTCTCTCCGTCCCAAAAATAAAACGACGGAGTTCTTGCTTTTCGTCTCGCCGTCTCAAAAAGAATGCAGTCTCATGTCCTCCTCCGTCTCCGTCCTAATAATAAAAAGAATATAGTTTTGTGTGTCTCCGTCCAAAAAAAATGTAGTCTTCACCATCCTCAAAAGAAAGTAATTTCTTCTCTTAGTCTCAAACAGAATAGAGCTTTTGTTTTGTAGAGGTCAAATAGTTTTAAATTTAACTAGATCTATATAAAAGGAATTAACATTTATAATACTACATGAATATTATTAGATTAATACATTTTTATTATATCTGTTTGGAATTATAAATAATTACTTTTTGATTGATAAACTTGACTCCTTCAATCAAACCTAGCTATATCTTTTTTAAGACGGAGTTATAGTATTAGAGTAGCTTCAGCGTACATTATTTGAGGGTGCTAGTAAGAGAGAGAGAGTAGATGAGAAGGTACAATACGCTGTGTGTTTTTGAGGATGCTAGCAAGACAGAAGAAGTGGATGAGAAGATGTAATACGCTCGAGTAAAATTTTCATCTAATGTTACGAACCCACATCCTTCGCACTTAGCACTTTCTATTGCTAAATCTCCGCCCATGGGTAGCAAAAATATCCATTGTAGAGGCTTCCAAGGCAATTGAGGCATGTTCGCTTGATCGTAAACGATCGTAAATTTCCAGTCAGAACAGTATTTTTCTTTCACACCAAACTAGCCAGCGATAATAATCTACGGTCGTATCCGATCGTATCAGCACCAGCCGAACACTACAGGCCTCATGCACTGTGCTTGTGACCCTCCTGTCTTGTCCCTACTCTGTAACGACACCAATAAATATTGATTATTTATGAGACACGATGTCATTTCAGATAAACCATACTGACCAATGCAGCCCCAACCAATATTGGTTGTTTATATTTCTAGCCTACTTCATATAGTCAAGTGCCAAACATACATAATGTTAGCATATAAACAATTCTAAAAAATTTAGCGCAATGGCGCTCAAGAGATATAGACGTTAGATCGTTTCACCATCACTACAGAACAACATTTCTTACTAACTTGTTATGGTTTTTTTAATCAAATTATATTAATTTATAATAACCCATTTATGGAAGTAATTGGACAAATTAATAAAGACACTTTATTTCATAGGAGCGAATGTGTTGAGTAGGTCAGTATCAATCAAATTCCTATACATAGATTGCACCCAAAAAGACCATTTCTAATATCAGATTGAAATAATCATGAGGTCTGGTTGGCCATTCATCCTAGTTTGGGCAATTATACCAAACAAAATCATACTACCAAACTAATAACTTACTTCCAGCTAATTCTCTATGGACATAAAATATAATGGAGCTGCACATCACATTAGTTAAGTACCATTTTTCTATAGACTATGTTATTATGTTCAATGAGAGTAGACATGAGCAACTTCGCCCCACCCTTTTAGAAAATTATGATGAGAAAAAATGGTGACAGATAGACACACATGTCATATTCATAATTTTGGCAAAAATTGGCATGGTAGCAAACCAAGCACTGTTTAGTCCCCTCAATCTTTACTAGCCAAGATTTGGTTTGACCATGATCCAACCATCTTCTTGTCTTACTATAGTTTGGCCTTGCCCGGATGTTTTTGTTGCCAAATTTGGTTTGAGTTGCTCATGAATCAAACCAAATAGATCCATGTGTGTGGGGGTATTAACCCCTATACCCTTACGGCTAAGCTTGGGTTGGCCTGGATCGATAGGTTCAGTCCACCCGAAAGATGACGTGCGGCCCAGTTAACCTGATCGGAGTCCCGCACAAGGAATCAAGACGGATTTGGCGACCAAGCAGGATCCTGGTCGATTAGAATAGGAATCCTTATCCAGCCACATATGGCAATTGTAACTGACTAGGATTAGTTTCCAGATCTGTAACTCTGCCCCCCGGACTATATAAGGCGGGCAGGGGACCCCTCTAAAAATCATCTCTCATTGACATACAGCAATACAAATCAGACGCAGGACGTAGGTATTACGCCTTCTTGGCGGCCGAACCTGGATAAAACCTCGTGTCTGTCTTGCGTCGCCGTCTTGTTTGGGACTTGCGCACCTGTCTGCCGATAATCTACTACCTTGGGCATACCCCTAGGTAGATTGCCGACCATATTTCGTCGACAGTGGCGCGCCAGGTAGGGGGTGTGCGTACTGCTCTCCAAGCGAACAAGATGGTCATCATCTCCGGCTCCATGGCTACGCCCAACGGCCTCACGTTCACCATCGGCCAGATCACTTGGACCACCGGCCCTGACGTCTCCATCACCATGACCGAGGCGTGTATTCAACCCGCGCCGACGACTACTTCACCTGCATTGGCTACGGCTCCGACCACGGTGAACGCGGCTCCGACCACGGTGAACACGGCTCCGACCACGGTGAACACGGCTCCGACCACGACGAACACGGCTCCGACCACGATGGATCTGGCTCCGACCACGGTACATCTGGCTCCGACCACGCCCTACAGCCACGCCGACAACCCGTCATCCGCTTCCCGCTCACGGAGGGAAGCGGATCGACGACACCGACCTGCTTTCGACTCCATCGATCGGGTTGGCATCAAACTCAGCTGAAACCCTAGCTCTGGTAAAAGCACGATTCAAAGCCAACCTAACGAAAGGTGTAATAGCTCCCCACAACAGATCTATCCGACCGGCTCGGGCGGTCGTCCGCACGCGGCTTGGAACAGATCTTGTGGTCGATCTACTCTCGAGGGCGCTCCGCTCGTCAGCCCCGACCGCCGCGACGGGCCTCCGACTCTGCGAGTACGAAGTCCCGACGGAGAACCACCAGGTCCAGCCCTACGGCCTGCGAAACGCCGCCTTCAGCTACGCGTGCAACCTACGACGCCGCTTGGATCTATGTCCTATACACCGATCTCGTCCGAAGCCATGCAACATCGTCAACATGGTCCGGATTGAAGATTATCAAGAAGGATCCATCCACACGGTCCGAGAGGGTGACTCAGCTCCTCATCCGGCATCGCATCCAACGCATCTGTCCACACCGAGCTTCAGCGTCACGAAGATGAAGGCGTCAAATACGATCTGGATCTACCAGACCACGCCCCGGGTTTCCCCCAATTTCCATCTTTCCCGCCAAGACGAGGGGATTTGATCCATGTTGTCAGCAACGACGAGCCGCCAGCAGTTGGCGAAACAGAACAAGAAAAGACTGCACGCGAAGCACGCAACATTGACCGGTTTAATCGCCGGCAAATCGAAGTCGAAGCGGAACCAGAGGCACGGCGCGATAAGGATCCAACCGCGCGACCTCAACAATGCTTTCGACGTGGTGGGGACAAACAAGTCTTCAAGACCCTAAGCGCCAACGTAGCGTTGTTGCCATGGCGACAATGCGTGGCACGCCCAACACTCTAGAAACCCAAGCAAATCGCGTGATGACATACAAGCATATCGACGGCTGCTATGGCTCGACCGCAGAGATGAAAAAAGCCGGGTCCCATCCGTTTGGTGGAATCAAGCCACGACCGCCAATACTCAAGTCGCTCACGGTACCGCTCAACCGAGCGTGGCTCGCGCAACAACGACCCGTCGGACAATCGTCAAGGCGAAAGCGGTGGTCATGATGGTGGTCGGGACGAAAACCGTCGTCGAGAGGATAACGAATCCACGACGTTCGAGGTGACAACCGCCGAGATAACGCGACAATCGCCGTGATAACCACGGTCGCAGAGCTAGTCCAGATGGCAATCGAGATCGCCGCGACGGCAATAACGATCTTCG